GATGTCCATGTTTTTCTCTCGTAGAAAATTGTTTATTTTCAATTGTTATTGTAAAAATAAAACACTTTTTAATTAAGAGAAACGACCATTAAAATTATAATTTAACAATAAATTCACTTTGACGTTAACTTTTACTTTTACTTTGTTGTTTATTATCAATTATTATCAATTAAAATAACACTCATATCACCCCCCCCACACACTTTACATATGATTTAACCCCCCTCCTCCGGACCATGGGCCTTTAAATTGCGTCCTCATTTCGTATGGAAGATTTATGTATGAAAATTTAACTGTTTAGTTTACAATTGTATAATAATAATTTAACAAAGACAGAAACTTAATTTAAATTTGTTTAAATTCTTGTAGATTTGCTCAGAATAGTAAATATAAATAAATTTGGATAATTATTTTTAGCCTGCTCTGATGAGATCTCAAAGATGCGAGCAAAAGTTGAAGAGAAAGAAACTGAACTTGGTAAGAAACTACGCCATTAATGTGTTCTGTGCAAACCCATGTAGACAATTCAGAATTTATTATTTGTATACTCTGCAAAGTTTGTACATGGTTACCCTCTAAAAATGAGCCTTTATAAATGGCGACCTGATACTTTAAAAGATAACAATATTTACCATCTTTAAAGAGAAAATTAATGATTAGACAAAGAAAGAAAATGGTTAATACAGCTGTAGGGAACCAGGAATGTAGATAACAGACTAAATATGCTAATTCTATAAAGTTGTCCCAGAAAAAGTCTTATTCTTTGTGGGTAACCCTGTAGAAGACAGAAAATAAATCTAAACAAAACAGAGAGTTCTGGAAAGTTAACTTAAAAGTTCACCCCAAAACTAAGCCGGTCTGACTTATAAGCTAAAGCAAAAAATTCCTATTTATACTACAAATAGTGTCTTAATTAAATGTTAAGGTTGATTGGTGAATTTCAATCTTTTTTTCGTTAGAGGGGGGGGGGGACTTGTCATGTAGGACATTTACTGTTTGGTTGCTCTTCCAATACACAAATCAACATAAAATAATAATGTTGAATATTTTTTGTTTTAATTTCATCTTTCCGCCTTAACTTCTTCTTCGTTTGGCTCTCTTTAAAGGGACTGTAAACGTAGTTTTAAGTGACCTTTCATTTATAGAGTTGCATTATGCATGTCCGATTCATAAAAATGTTTCACTTCCTTAATTATGCTTCAAAAACAAAGAAGTAATTTGCCAGAGTTAAACACACTTCAATCATTGTAATATTATTGATAAAGGTCCAAGGGTTAAGGTTGTAAGCCGGGCATTCCCCACTTCTAATTACAGCGACAGTCCCATTCAGAAACAATAATGAATTTGAGCAAACAGTGCTCACGAAAATGTTTGTTTATTTTGTTTATTTTGTTTGTTTGTTTATTTTGTGCATTTCGTTTATTTGGTTTATTTAGTTTGATTAGTTTATTTTGTTTATTCGTTTATTTTGTTTATTTTGTTTATTTTGTTTGTTTGTTTATTTTGTGCATTTCGTTTATTTGGTTTATTTTGTGTATTTTGTTTATTTTGTGTATTTTGTTTATCTTGTTTATTTAATTATTTTGTTTCTTTTGTTTCTTTTGTTTATTTTGTTTATTTTGTTAATTTTGTTAATAATATGTATTTTCTTTGTTTTGTGTATTTTGTTTAAATTGGTTAGTTTGTGTAATTTGTTTATTTTGTTTATTTTATTTATTTTCGAAATTTTGTTTATTTGCTTATTTTGTGCATTTTGTTTATTTCGTTTATTTTGATTATTTTGTTTATTTTGTTTATTTTGTGCATTTTGTGCATTTTGTTTATTTTGTTATTTCGTTTATTTAGTATATTTTGTGTAGTTTTTTAATTTGTTTATTTTGTTTCTTGAATTATTTGTTTATTTTGTTCATTTTGTTTATGCTATTATTTTCTTTATTTTGTGTATTTTGTTTATTTTGGTTATTTTGTGTGTTTTCTTTATTTTATTTATTTTCATAATTTTGTTTATTTGGTGTATTTTGTTTAATTTGTTTATTTATTTATTTTGTTTATTTTGTTTATTTGTTTATTTTGTGTATTTTGTTTGTTTTGTTTGTTTTGTGTATTTTGTTTATTTAGTTTATTTTGCCTATAATTGTTTATATAGACTTTATAAACCGGTGTTGCCCGTAGAATTCAAAAAAAAAATATTCAAAAATTCGAGTTTTGAATTAAAAAAATATTTTTTGCCTTTGTCATACCCGTGCTACCCATGAGTGTTCAAAAAAAAATTTAGCCCATTCAGATCAGCCGTTACCTATAACATTAAAAACCATTTGAATAAATTTTTCAAACTCAATAACATATTAAGATATCACGTTTATCTAAAATTCATGCATCCTTTTTTTTCTGTTAATCTTCTTAATTTATTGGTTCAATTTAATATATATGCATATATATATAATATCTTTAACAAAAAACACCTCTTTTACACTAACATATTTTCGAACCTTATCAATGCTTGAAGTGAATAAAGCATGTCCTCAATTTAATTATTATTCAAAAGTTTCAAACAGACCTTAATTGTGAAGGTGTTGTAGGTGATTTTGTGAAGGTGTTGGACAAGTTGTGATAAAGTTGAATGATGACAAATTATGACACATAGTTTAGTTGATAAAAGTTGTTTGGAAATTAAATTGTAAATATTTAGTATTTTTTTGTTTTTGTGTTGTTTTGGCTAACTGGGTAGTGTAGAACGATAATTGTCTTGATATCATAACTATTTAAAACAGCGTCAAACAATCATGATATTTTTGTACCTTATCGTTAGTTATTTACAACTTTAAAAACTTAAGAATAAAAAAATGTGTTTGTCTTTTATTTCACAAGTTATTAACCCTCTCCCTGCTAGGGTGAACTTGACCCCCCTTCCTTCTAAATCCCATGTTTGATGTCCAAATATGACAAATGATACATCATTAGAAAGCTCTTATAAATCTGGCAAAAAAATAGAAAATTTGCAAAAATTGATTTTTTTCAAAATCCAGTTATATATATAGAAAAAATGTTTCAAAAAAAATTCCAAAAAATGAGAACATATACATTTTTGAAAAGCCCATGACCATGTAATCTTAAATATGCAAAAAATTAGCAACATTTTGAGTAACCTGATGTATAATTAGGATAAACTAAAAATGTGCAAATTTCTTTTGATGGGTTGTATGCAAACAATTTGCCAAAATTTCTTTGCAAAACTTGAGCAATCCGGCCGTTTCCTTATGTCATAGGCTTTCTAAAAAGCTAAAGATTATCAAATTCTGACAACAGAAAATTGGCCAAAACAAAGATTTTGTTTGTTACAGGAAAATGTAGTCATAATAGGCAGTGTGCCTGAGGACTCAGGAATTTAGTATAAAATCCCAGTTTTATACCTAAAGGGAGGGCTATGGGCATTTAGGAAAAGTCAGAAAATTTCAACAGCCTCAGACCAATACTTTTTAAGTTATGTAAAAAAAACTACTGGGAAGGGGATCAATTTGACCCCCCCCCCCAGCAGGAATAGGGTTAACAGAAATAATGAATCAAAAAATCGAACAAACATTTTAAGGAATAACGATGTAAGACACCATTTAAAAACTGTTAAAGTCCATCTCTGAACCTGATTAAACGTATAATTTGGAACTGAAACTCACACTTTCTGTGTGAACTTTCACAAGTTGTAATGTACTGCACGTGCATTACATTTGGGTTATAAAAATGCAAAGTGATTAAATACTAAAGTGAGCCATACTATAGTTATTTATAACTTAGCCTGTATTTATAAATTGGTCTGTACGGAATGCACAGTACAACAGAAACACAAACACAGTCTTAGAATTTGTATTTAACTTAAATATAGATTAACGTAAATTAAGATTTCAGAAGTTAATTTTAGCCATTTTACTGTACAATAAATAATTTCAGACAACACAGTATAATGCCTGCATGCATAATCTGTAAAACAAGGAATGTACAATTTGTGATACCGAAAAATGAAGATCTTCGAAACATATCTCTTGGTCTTCACTTTTTTATTTTGACAGATTTAAGAGTGGTTGAGAACTAGACATAGTTTTAAAGATATTAAGCGAGGCGTATTTAGTTTTTTTCCTAAGTAAGGGCTTATATTTCTTTCTTTTCTTCCCCCCCCCCCGAAAAAAAACACATATATTTCACTGATCCAGGAGGGAAATGAGCCCCCATAGCCCCCCCTGAATACGCCTCTGGATAATAACATTAGTAGTTTTAAAGATAAATTTCTATAGAATTAGAAGTGGCAGACAAAATAAATGAATTGATTAAGCGACTATATAGTATTTACATATAAACTACATACATCATACAAAAAATTTGATTTCTAATTATAAAAATTTTGAAATTCTAACTGAAGATGACATTTACATGGGTCTTTCGTCTATTTTTTCTAGTCTTTACTTTCCAAATGAAATCTTTTCATGCAATTATTTGATAAAGAAATTTAAAGGAATTTCGAGTCTTTGCCACAAATTCTGATTTTCTTTTCAATTTGCAAGCCAGTGTCGAAGACCTTACGATTTACGAACTACGAATTCTGTTTGAATCAAATATTATAAGTTTGAAATGTCAAAGGTTTCCACCATGACTCAATTCTCAGAAATTAACAAATAAAGATAGATATCACTGAATTAAATTGGAGATAAAAAAGATTTTAAAGGTTATTTGCAAATACGATGTCTCGCGTCATTATCAAATATCGCCTTTACATGAATTAAAGCCGGATAAACTTTTATGTTGGAAACTATTGTTTTTTAAAACTTATATTTTTATGTTACGTATTACATATGTGTAAGTGGCAAATAATCTATTAATTTTTATTTATTTGATTTATTTTAGAAAAACTAAGAACTACGGCGGAAACCAATATTGGGTTTACGATAGCGGAGAAAAATAAACAGATGGATAAAATTGCTCAAGAGGCGGAGGAAATTAAAGCCGAGGCGGATCAAGAATATAAAAAAGAAATTCAAAATCTTAGAGAAGGTAAAAAAATTATATTAAATAAATTTTCTAAAAAAGATTTATAAATTTTTTTAGAGTTGATAAAACAAAAAGAAGAATTAAAAAAATATAAGGAAATCATCCAAAATCTTACGAAGAAATGCAACGAAACAAGGTAATTAAAAAACTAAATAAATATGCCATAAAGCCCTCTTTCAGCCTCACGCAAAAATAACCGGATCTAATTGTATGTGCGTATAGGGTGTATCGGAATAAACTCAGTTAAGGCATGAACTCTCAATTACGGTACAGCCCAACACTTAAGTGTAAAGCTTCAATCATAAAAGCTAAATCCAAAAATTAGACTCAATAATTTTGAAACCTGATCTGGGAGCCTCCTCCAGAATACGATTACCATGCGGAATATAGAATAGAGATTAAATTATTCTGCAGATTAACAAAAGATTGGGATCAAGTTCCCAGCTCTGTTCATCTAAAGCACCCCCAGTCCTGCGCTTTGCCGCAACAATTCATATTCTGCAGTTTCCCGCATTTATTAAAACCCAGCTGCTATACATTTCAAACTCGCACACTCTTCATAATTTATATTAGACTAAAGATGGGTATGTATGAAAAAAAAATTGTAAATAGTTAAGAAAAAAAATATTTAAAAAAAAATTATGTTTCATGGATACAATAAAGTTTAATAAAATATATTTATACTTTAAATCAGTGTTAATTTTCGTTTTGTAAAAGTTCATTTCTAGTCAAAAACCATGGATGAAAAACTATAATCACCTGAACAAACAAATAATAATTACCAAGACAAACAAACCTGAACCGTGTCTTCACTTTTTAACCCCTTGAACTCTGCAATGCGGGTTTCTTAATTCTTAACATAATTCTTCTAATTTTGATGCATTCATTTTGGAATATATTTAGGACCGAGGTTGATCCCCTGGTGGATATGAAAACATTAGAAACTAGATTAATTAGGTATGACTTTATTTATTCGAATTTATTTTCGGATTTATTTGCTTACTTACTTTTCATTTAGCAGTATTCTTATGATATCCTGGATTTTTGTTATCTCAAACCTCGTCTGAAACTTATTTGACATTTTATGGTTAATTTTAGTTAGCTGAATTTTAGTTTAAAGAGAACTGAAAAAAAAACTATTAAATCGAAGAAACTAATTAAATTCGGTTGAAATAAGTTCCTCTCATTCTCTTTCAAAGCGACCAGAGGCCGAATTTAAAGAATTTGAGCAGCGGCTCAAATATGGTTGGCTTCACTTAAATTTGTATTAAATTTTTAAGATTCAGGCCGGCGCTCAATTTAAACCGGTTTTTGGGGGATTTGAGACTCGGCTTAAATTCATTAAATTCGGACACAGAAAAACACTGAAAGTTTCGTATAATTCTTGTGAACGGGCCGTTTTTTTCCCTTTTTCCATACCAATACTTTACTCTCTTTTTGTAGCCCTGACTATAAACATTTTAAAGGAGTATTTGGCTAAACCTAAAAACATCGTAGTGCATCTGTCTCATTGTTTAAAAAAACTTTGGGTTTGGCTAAATGATAAATGAAAAATGATATTTTCTTATTTCAACAGATTTAGATTAATTAACTGCGTTAATTAAAAAAAAGTCCAGCTCAGGTTTTATAAATAACATTTTACAGATCTCTTTAATTCTTTGTAAATATTATTCTTTTTGCAGGGAACAAGAGCAAAATGCAGAATTGGAAAATGAGTTAATTATGCTCAGGAAACCAAACACAAGAAAATATCATTATTTAAAGTTTTAAACTTAAACACTTTGATCAAATTATTTCAAGATTTGTTTAGATAAAAACAGTTTTATTACAATTCTGATTAGAAATTTATAAACCAGAGAGGTCGTTGTTTCAAAAATTTCAAAGGCATAAATAATTATCAAAGTTTTGTTCTTAAATTAACGTTTAATCGATCGTATAAGGGACTGTAGCCGGAAAGGGAATTTTTAATTATTTTAGCAAAAATATTGAAGCACGCTAACAGAACGTGCATCTTCTTCTCAAGACAGACAGACAACTATATCTTCATTTAAATCAATCGACAGTTCGTTCCTTTAGGAATAATACACCTAAACAGAAGACAAAAGTCTTTTATACATATAAATATTTAGATTTAGTTCAGATACATGTAATAAATGCCTTATTCCAATAGTTCTTTTAAGTTATATCAAATATCTGTATGCTCAAGTATGTATCAATCCAGATATAACCCTCTGTATTCTCAAATATGTATCAATCCAGATACAACTCTCTCTGTATTCTCAAGTATGTATCAATCCTAATACAACTCTCTCTGTATTCTCAAATATGTATCAATCAAGATACAACTCTCTCTGTATTCTCAAGTATGTATCAATCCTAATACAACTCTCTCTGTATTCTCAAGTATGTATCAATCCTAATACAACTCTCTCAAACTCTATACTCTTAACCGAGAGTATATGTCTGACCGTAATAAAACAGAGTTCATATTCAACTCTCTATATTTTGGTAAGATTAAACTGCCCGATAATACGGTCAGGTGATTATAACGTTTTATATATACAGGTAGGTTTAGGTTTCCAGGATAAAGGGATTATTACTATATTTATTACAGACACAAAACTTTTTATAAAATTTCGAAAGTTTTTCAAGTTTTGGTTTAGGTTAAGTAATGAAGAACTGCGTGTACAGAATAAGGTTGAAAAATATTATTTCAAGTGAAAAAGAAAAAAATAATTTTGGCAAAAAAAAACAAATTAAAATATCATTTGCTGCAAGTATTTACAAAAGCCTATTGTTGCCTTTTAAACTTAACCATTTTTATTTTTATATGTTTTATACACTCTGAGATATGTTTAGTAAAGCTATTTTTTCTTAAATTTATTTTGATATTAAATAGTATTTTTCCTAGAACCTGAACGAGATTGAAAATACAGGAAATGATCCTGTTGAGACCAGATTTTTTTAAAGGGAATGTTTGCAAAAAATGAAAGGGATATAAGCTTACGGCTAAAAATAAGCGCCTTTGATCGCTACTAATCTTACTTCTATCCGTTGTGTCTAAAGCAGAAAATTGTTAAAAAAGAATCATACCACAGAACGTAGCGTCCATACAAATTCAGAAGGTTGTAACATTCAACTCGGATCCTAAAAAAATCAATTTAATTCCAAACAAATCATTCAGATATTACAACCAATAATCATCGATAATTTTTCGACACATTCGTATATAGTTGATATTTCATAATCTTTTTTTTTTTATTTTTTATGATCTGATCTATAGTTACTTTTGAAAACGTTTATTCCTGTTTCGAGGATTTTTGATAATGAAGACGACATTTTCATTTTTCCAGGAATGTTTGAAAATCTAGAGCCAGCAAAATATTATTTTAAAAAAGAAAATCAAAAATATTATGAAATATTAACTATATATGAATGCGTCGAAAAATAATCGATGACTATTGGTTGTCATTATCGTCATGATAGAGTATCCTCTCGTCTAATCCGGGCAGAGCTCTAAAACCAGTTAATGCAGTGCAGACATAATTCATGTACTTATCCTGTATTCGGGTTTTTTTTTCCTTTTAAATTGATACAGCAATACAATCATACCAAGACACCCAACCACAACAAACCGAGGAAATTCAAGAGCGATATGAAAGATTCAAATGCATAATTGCATCCTTTGAAATTTTTAATAGCAGACATCTTTTAATGAAATAATAAAGCTTTATAGTTTTAAATTTTTTTGTATTCATTTATGGAGTTATGAGGAGTTTAGGAGTTTTGAAGTTTTCCAGTGTTGAAGTGTTAAAGTGTTAAAGTGTTAAAGTGTTAAAGTGTTAAAGTGTTAAAGTGTTAAAGTGTTAAAG